TTCAAACATCCAAGGCCAAATAGACGATAGTGCTTTGGGATCCCAACAAACCATATTACTTAATAACATTATATGAATACAGTATAAGCACCTTATCATCATGAATGCACATACATTTACTGCTCATTAAGGTAATACAATTATATTAAGCAATTGGTTTATTATTACTGTATATGGAATAGTGCTATAGGATTTCAACAAACCATGGTCTATTATTTTATTTATGTGTTTATCATGCAGAATAAAATATTAAATTAATAATTTTATTGATATTAATAATTTTTGAAAAATGTTATTATAATTCAATAGAATATCGTTACAGAAATTAATTTTTAAAATAGTTAAATAATATCCAATGATATAAAGTGCTTAATACAATAATCAAGAATATTAGTATTTTAATTGAATTATCATTAATTGCTGTTATATTTTAGTTAATTAAATAATGTTTAAATAATATAGAATGTATTATTAATTATTTACTTTTTTATTAAAAATACAAATTTTAGTTTTGATGTAATTAATAATATAAATGTCTGTAAAACATGAAAACATACATCATATGAATATCATTATAATTATAATTATGTGTCAAACATATTTATAATTAATGAATGTTTTAATAGTTTAATTGTTTTATATAGATTGTAATTAAAACAAATACAAATAATGAAAATAAATTGTTTAAAATATCTGGTATTATATTAATTTTTATATTGATATGATATTATATGTAACAGAACATAATTTATTTATAAGTTTTATAATGGATTTTTATAATGGTCAATTTATTAGAATGCAATTTAATATTTACAAAAGATTAACAAATATAAATAATAAATTTTAAATGACAAAAGGACTTTTTGGGCTATCGTACACTTAATCATGATTTATTTAGTTAACCATTTTACAGCGCTGTTTTTGTACCATGGTACTTTATGTTTATAGTCCTTTTATACACACTCTTTGAGCTCATATTTGATACACACTCTCATTGATAGCCCTTTTGTATTGCAATACATTGACAGCTGTTTTACACACTCTTATAATTTAAACTTAAANTAAAACTAATCTTAAATCTATGAAAACATTTTTCAATCAAAATTATTTATGCAAACAATTTCATAGCAATTGTTTTGTTACAGTTTTCTGTTAAATATTTTTATTAGAGAGAGAGAGAGAGAGAGAGAGAGAGAGAGAGAGAGAGAGCTATAAAATATATCAAGCAGATTCTGGTCTCTATTGACTTAAAATGTAATTATTTATTGTATATAAGTTTTATAAAATGTACAGAATATGAATTTTAGAGTGGAAATATAAATATACAGTATATGATTAACATTGGATAAAATAGTATTTTCCATTAATTATGATTATTTACTGTACTGGATTATTATATTTATAATAATTATATTAATTACTTAATTTTGCCCTGGCTTAGATTAATAAATGGGGTATCATGGCGAGATTGTATTGTTAATAAATATTATTAGTAAATAAATAATTACAATATTAAGCTAATACTTTAGACACATTTATACTGCAGTTAATATTGTATAAATGTCTGAATAATCCACCACGTAAATTTGAATCGGTAAAAACGAATATAGTATATAAAATATATAATAATTGTATGGTTTAGTGAAACAATTGACAATAAAACCAGTTTTTTTCTTTGCTTAAGACTTCAATGTCATAACAAATGTGTATAGAATTCATGCGCTAATAGATTGTGGTAAAGTGATTGTAGGCTTTGTCTACTGATAATAACTATGATGTAATGTAAAGGTAAAATGTCATGATGATAAAAGTAATGTAAAATGTTTTACTGTTATGTTTACTAACATAACACCATTTAAACACAAAATAAAGTCGCTAGATTGTATTTATAAAGTATAAATAATGGTCAAAATTTGCGATGTATGCGGTGATAAAGGACATGGTAAATTTACTTTTAAGTAATTTGCATTAACTAGTTTAATTAACACTGTGTTTATAGCCAGATACTTTGGTGCCATGAGTTGTGTGTCGTGTAAATCATTTTTTCGTAGGAATGGACTTAAAAATCAGGTTTTGATTATCTGTTTTGTACTTTAATTAAAATATAATTTACTTAATATTCAATAGCCATTGATTTGTGCCTCAAATGGCAAATGCGATATCAATGTAATGACGAGACGGATGTGTATTAAATGCAGACTTGAAAAGTGTTTTGCTGTCGGCATGAAAAATGTATTTACAATTTATTAAATTATATTTTTATTGATTTTAAATGTATTTATAAATAATAATTATAGGATTTACTACAAAGTGCTGAACAACTCAACTATAGAAATGAAATGATCAAAGAAAATAAATCAAAACACAAACCCAGCGATGAAACCGATAATTGTATTAATTTCGCGGCTAATAATTCACAAAATAATTCATTGATTATTAATAGCAACACAACTATTGCTAAAAATTTTACGCTTAATTTAATAGACAATAATTTGTTTAATACTGAAGGCATTGAAAACAATATCAATGAAAATTGTGATACAATAGCTATTAATGATAATCTACAGCAAGAATTGCCAGTAATTCCTGTATTTAAAACAATCACTGATTATAATGGTATCAATCAATTAGAGTCGAGACTTGTATGTGATGTTTGCGGTGATAAAGGCCGAGGTGAATTATCCAATAATGTTTATAAATTGCTATAAATTGTTACAATTATAATAATTATGTAACTTTATAAATATTTCATTCATAGCCCGAAACTTTGGTGCCATAACTTGTGAATCGTGTAAATCATTCTTTCGTAGACACGGACTGAGAAATGAGGTTTAAATTGTATTTTATGCATAATTAAAAATATTTCCATAATTATATTTTTATACATGTATAATAGCCATTCAATTGTCCGTCAAATGGGAAATGCGTTATAAATGTATTGACGAGAAGGCACTGCAATAAATGCAGACTTGAAAAGTGTTTCGCTCTCGGAATGAGAAAAGTATTTGTTATTTATTTATTATTTAATAACAATTAATTAAATACTTATTACTTATTATAGGAATTAATAAGAGGTTATGAAGTAATTAAATCAAAGCATAAACCCAGCAATGAATCCCTCAATTATACTGATTTCTCTAATAATAATAATTTACACAATTATTCATTGATTGACACAACTATTGATGAAAATTTTACGTTTGATTTATTAGACAATAATTTAATTAATATCAATGATATTGAAGAGCAACTGATTGTCAGTAAAAACAATACAAATTCTGTCGTAAAATATGTCAACAAAAATTCAGGCAAAGAATTGCCAATAATTCCTGTATTTAAAACAATCAGTGATTATAATGGTATCAATCAATTGGAGTTCAGCCGTATATCTGAACTACTGATCGCTTACAACAACACATTTAATTCAGGATTGAATACCAATACACACAATACAACTGTCCATAAGGTTAACGATTTGCAAGAATTAACGACCGGTTATAACGACTTGAATGAGGAGTTCATTAAAATAATTGTTAAATTCACAAAAAGTCTGAACGGATTCAACAATATCTGTGCCGACGATAAGTATGCGCTTATGAAACACGGGGTTAGAGATCTGGTGCTCATCCGTTGCCTTAAATACTATAACTTAGAGATTGAGTGTTTTGTCGCACAGATTGTAAGTTATGATAAGTTATGGTAATTTTAAAAATTATTTTACTGTTTTGTAATCAAATGTAATTTATTTAGGACCATGATCATTCAATGCAATTCGATTTAGATATTTACCAGCCATTTGGATTAACAAGTTCACTGAAAACTTACTATAAAAAGTTTGCATCACTCTGGAACTACGATGATCAAATTGTTATTGAATTGGTATTTATTATTATTATGTTTATTATACAGTAATTCTGTTTAATTTTTACAATTGTTTTTTGTTTAAGTTGGCGGCTATCATACTATTTAACCCAAACCACCCTAATTTATTGCACAAAAATATAATCAGGTAGGTTTTTTGTGATTTAATCTTGACATTAATAAATACTATTATTAAAAGATAAATTGTTTAATTTGTTTGTTAGACTCGAACAACAACTGTATATATATTTACTGCAAAGATATCTACTATTGAAATATCGCTCGGAATTTGAATCGCAGATGAAATTACAACAAATAATGGATTCGTTGAAAGACATCAATACTTTGAATCAAATCCAAACCAAACATTTTGGTGAATTTGACAATTATTTACAGTATTTTGGACCTCTTATGTATGAAATACATTCCCCATAATATTATTTTAATAGTTTTAGTATATATGGGTTTAAATTACCTAGACAATATTGACATAATTATATCACATATTCTATTAGATAATTAAATGGCAGTATTATAATTAAATTTCAAATTATAGTAAATTAATAAATAAATAATGATATGTTGTATAGATGTCTGCAAACCAGTGGTTTCACACACTTTCAATGCACTAAACGCTTGATTTAAATAAATAAGTAATTTTATATCAAATACTCGATAAACAATTTATTTATTGAATTATTGCGCAAATATTTATTAAATTTCAAATTGAATTCAGAAAAAGTTGACTAAAATATAATTAATGGCTATTTTTGACAATATTTTAAAATATCATCACTTTTTATTACAAACGTTTACTAATTTTTAAATTTCTGGGTATTTGTCGATCAATACTAAGATCTCCGGTATTGTTGTGAACACAGATTGTGAACCATTTCTTCGGGTCTATTGAATACCAATCGATAAAATCATTTATAAATTGGCGGCAAATTGTCGTGTAATCCTCTGAATTATAGTCAGTATAACTATTCAAATGAATGGCCAATAAATTGTAAAATGTATTCAATTGTTTACACAAAACGACTCTCAGTTTGGTTGTCAAAAAATCTTTGTAATAAAGTCCTAAAGTCTTAATAGTCGTGTGTTTTGCAATCAAATAAAACATTTGCCCAAAACACGTAAAACATTGGTCGACAATTGGATCATCGTGGCTTTCATTGATGTCTATAAGTAGATTGATAATACAATTAAGTGAAACATGGCTTAAGACAAGTGTTTTGAGTGCCGGGAAACTAATCAATAGCGACACAAACGCCTCTTCACTCGGTTGACACGAATTGAGATAAAGTGTCTTCACATTTGAGAATTGGTTTTCATTTTGCATGTAATGATAATCACGAAAATTTTGATAATCGAGACCCAGATATACGAGTTGTATCTGTTTTTGGGCCAATCTTTGCAGACATTGCCACTGAACCGATGAATTGAGTGAATAATATGATAACGCTTTCAATGCCATACCATTGATGATCAGTTCCAGCGCTTCTTCGGTGATGTAATTGCAGTTAAGATATAAATACTGCAAATTCTTTGCATTACTTTCCAATAGATTAGCGACCAATTGGTCGTCGATTGTTATCTCATATTTGGATTCGATTTCCAATGATTTCATGCTTTTTGGCAAACATTGAAATAATTGTCTAATAATTTCTGGATTTTCAAAATCTATCACTAATTTTTTTAATCTTTTCATTTCTCGTATCATTTCAATCGTATTCTCTGAATGAATGTCCCAATAGTTGGCAACAAATTGTGTGACTCTTCCCGACAAGAGTTGTCCCAATTGTCGGAACTGTTGAGCCGTGAAGTGAACGCAACCGCATATGAATAAGCATTGGATAGATTGAAATGAATCTAGAATATCATAAAATGTCTGAAAGTTGGTCTCGAAGTGATTGATCGCCAAATACTCAATGTTTGGTAATTTTGTTGTCAACCAAATAATCCTTTGTTTACTTCTTATAAGACAAAACTTTCCGTTCGGATGGCTCTCAAGATATCGATTGGGAAACGCATACCAAAGAGGAATAATATAACCATTCGGTCGGTTGTGATTGACTTCTATAGTAGTATTGAAAGCAATGCTCTTCTGTTTGCGGAACCAATAGTTGGCGCAAAACTGGAACTCTTTGGAGACTCTCTCCAAACCAATCAATTCATGGATCTCGAGGTATGAGAAGATCTTTATCACCAAATCTCGATCCGCGAGAACTTTCTCAAAAATTTTATCTGTATTTTTAACACTCATTTTGAAACAAACCTTTGACTTAATAACAAATATATTTCAACGTATTTTTGTTAATTTGCAAAAATTTATTAAATAATAGTAATTTACGATTTTTGAATGACATCATAATATAATTGTTAAATTCACGCATAAATTCAAAGATTATTTAATTATTTTTGTAATTAAATCTATTCAAAAATGTATTTAAGTGAAAATAATTAATAAGATAAAATAGATTTGCACTCATTTGAAAACATTATCAATGATAAATGTTGTATGTTGGCGTACTGTACCCGTGGTTAAACATACTATGAATGCAGTTATAACAATAATTATATTTTATTCTGCATTTTTATTAATGTTGTAAATAATTATAACTTTTATTTGAATTTATCGTTTTAAAGTATTTATTAATTAATAGAATTTATGCAAATTAAAAATAAGTTTCAATAACTAATAGCAGTTTTAATACAGAATTTTTCTAATTCTCAAATTTCTGGGTATTTGTCGATCAATAGTAAGATTTCCGGTATTGTTGTGAACACAGATTGTGAACCACTTCTTGGGGTCTATTGAATACCAATCGATAAAATCAGTAATAAATTTGTGACAAAAATCTTTGTATTCTTGAAAATCGAAATTAAAATATTTACACAAATGAATGGCAGATAAAGAGTGAAAATCATTGAGCAGTTGACACAAAACGACAGTCCATTCAGTATAATAAAGACTCAAAGTATGAATTGTTGTGTATTTTGCGACCAATCGATAGGTTTGTCGAAAAGATGTCAAGCAATCCGTTGAATTACAAACATTACAAGCAATGGATGTTTCGCTTAATACAAGTGTTTTGAGTTTAGGAAAGCATTTCAATAGCGATACAAATGCCTCTTCTTCGGGAGTAATTCTCACCCGAAGAAGTGCACTCTCGAAATAGCTTTGGCAAAATGACCATGGCACTTTTTTAAAAAGAGATAATAAAATGCTGTAAAGTGTTTTTGTATGAAGATCAGATAAAGAAAATAACAATTAGATATAAATTATAACAATTGATCTAGTCAATTAAAAAATTT